AGATTCATCGTAATCATATCACTAAAAATACTTAGTCATTCGTAACGTCAGAATTAAATAAATAAAAATGGAACGACATGACCAATAAATCGACAGAACGTAATTGATTTTCCTTTGCGTGTGCCGTCTTCCCTTCTGCTGTCCTTCCGTTTGTGTATGTGTAATCTCTTCTTATTTTTTTTGGACCTCCGTCCATGTAATTCCTATTTCGGCTCTCTCTCTCTCTCTTTTTTTTTCTATTTTTTCTTCAGCCTTTACGTCCTCTTTTTCCTCCCTAATTCTTGGCTGTCCCTGTGCGTGAATATGTATTTCCCTCTCTGCCGCCAAATTGGTTTCGTCCCAACAGGAGTCCAATGGATGAATTTCATTTCCATTACAGGAGCCCAATTAATTGCTATTCACCTTCCAAGGCCTCACTTCATTCCATTAATGTACTTTAGTCCTGAAATCAAATCAATTATTCTACTCATGTCTTTCTTTACTCCACTTCGAGCCCTTCAATTTCTAAAGTATAGAATTTGTTTCTCAACTTTAAAATCACGCCTATTTTGGTTTTTTTTCCCCAGTTGCTTTGAAATTGGTCCAACACTGAAAAAAAAAAGATAATTAACCTAAATTAAGTAAAATAGTAAATTCAATACTTTGATGACATAAATGTGTAAAAATATGGCTAGGAAAAGTGCACAAAACGCACTTATTGATCGGGGTATATTTAGAATTTCAAAACTAATTTCGGATGAATGAAAAATAGTGGTTCAAAGTAGGAAGGAAAAATTGATTTTTCAGCACCTAAAATAGCCGTTCGAGCGGCAGCCCAGCAGTAGGAGAGCGCCAGTAAGGGCTGCGACCCTTGGTTAATGTTGCCGAGTTTTGTGGCATGTCTCTCCATCCACAACCCCTCATCTTTTATAAATTAGACCCTTTGGATGTCATTTACGTATCACAACTCATATTCTGGAGTCTTGTGTTCGCTTGAAAATATTATACCGCAAGTGCACGGGTCGCGTTCAAATAATAAAGTGGACTTTTTGAGTCCGGGTTGTCGATCACTCGAGGAATGCTTACTTTTAATTACACAAATTTAGTCAAATTTAATTTTGACAATAAGAACAAACACACAATAAAATTTAATTTTAGAAATTATGAGAAATTAACTAAAAATCTACAAAATAAGAAAATATAAACACTTGGAAAGTTTGGAGGGAAACGTGGTTGGGATTCATGGTTTCATTTAACCGTCAC